CCCCCCCCCGCCGGGGATGGTTGGACGTGTTGTAGTGATCTCGTCAGCACCATTCTCAAGGGCATCCCCACGCTTCGCTTTGTGGTGGGGCGGAGCGACTCGGGAGAGCACGTGATGGGTGTCCTGTCGTTCGCCAAGAGGGTACCGTAATTGTAAGGATTAGTCGTTCTCCCGAAGCTAGTACAGGTGCAGTGTTTGGACGGGTTCCTTTCCGGCGATGATCTGGCGCTCGCCTTGTGACATCCATTCTATCCCCATCACGGAAGTGCTCCAACAGACAAATAATAAAAACGCTCTAACAAAACATGCTCAGAAAAGTTTTCCCCGGGTAAATATCAGAAAAACGCGAAAACAACGACCGACGACGCACACGCACGCACGCACCAAGTGCACTCCTCCTCCGTTGCTTCCGCGTGGGCCCGACGTATTCCTCTGTTCCTCTTTCGCTCCCCGTTCGCTCTCTCGACTAATCATCGAACTGCTGGTGATCCCCACGATAACACACAAAATACCACCACTGCTGTAGACGTTCGATGGAGAAAAAAATTCCACTCCCAGCCAGCTTGCGATTCAATCGCCCGCTTATCATACCTCGTGCAGAAAATCGTCAACATATAAAATCTATCTCACTGTGTCTCATGTCCAACGATATGCTAGCACGTGGCTTCCCACAAACTCCCCGCCAGCCGAGCACTTGAAAACGATCAAACTCACGAGCCAACACGAACGAGTTTGTACCTCAGAAAAACCACACACAGAAACACGGGAGGGCTATGCGGGGGTGCGATGGTGGACGAACTTTTGCATTCTATGCGAGGTGAAGTGATCAAGCAACACCATCACGCCTCTGCGCACAACCGTCAAGAATGTTGCGGCGGCCCCGCCCACCGGGTGCTCTCGCGTGCCCAACCAAGGCCCTGGAACAGAAAAAAAAAAACACGCGAATCGAAAAAGAACCACGCACACCTGCAAAAGCAGTAGTTCTGAAAAACGCACACCACGTGTCTCAGTGTCTCAACACACCACAGACAATACAACAAGACACAATTGATGACCACAGTATAGTAATCAATTTTTGGGAGTCTTGGGACCACCAATCCTTCCGCTCGGCAGATAGGTCCCGTCGCCGCACCCCTCCCCCTCTCACCCTCCCCACAAAAGGACGATACCCCCCCCCCTGTGCCCATGCCTCGCCGTCACCTCCACGGCTTCACCATCTTGATTGGCCTCGACTTCATGATGCGCACGCCTCCAGCCAGCATCGACGACGCTCCCGCCCCTGCTGTGCCGGACGTCCCCGTTGCCACGGCGGCGGCCACCCTTGCCCCCGCGCTGGGGGCGGCGGACTCGGGCCCGCCGGGTTCCACCGCCGCCTCCTCGTCCTCCTTCACGACGGCCACGAACCGCGCCTCCCTCTCGCCGGCCCCGTCCAACTGCGCCGCCAGCCCGTCGACCACAAGCCACCGGAGGTGCCGCTCCAGGGTCGGCGTCAGGTGCTCCAGCCACTCCGCCCAATCTTGAGCGGAACCGGCATTGGGCCTGCCTTCCCACGGCCGCTCCCGCATAGCCGCTAACAGAGCCGCTGCCGTCGCGCCTTCCGGGCGTGTCGCCGACGACGTCGAACGAGAAATGGCGTCGCTTGTGGCGGTGACCATACTGGCGGCGTCCACAGCAGCGGCGCCCGGTCGAGGGGTAGAAGCGATCGTCAGGTAGTGCAGCACCGAGCACCGTTGCTGCCGCTCTCGCTCGTAGGTTCCGACGCGACGGGTCGCCGGCCGCGCCCGTGGCTCATCAGGCCCAACCGCCGCCGCCGGTGGAGCCGTCGCCGCCGCCGCCGCCGCCCACGAAACCACTCCCGAATCCTTGCCTTTCCCGTTCGAATTCGCCCACCTAGCCACCGCCGCCGCCGCCGCCCCGCCCTCAACAACGCCTCCTGCTCTGCCGGCGCTCGCTTGTTCTCCGTTGGCCCTGGCCGTGGTTCCGACCTCGTCTACATCCCGAAACCTCCCGAGCGATAGCTTGTGCTGGCCGGTGAGCTTGAGGGAAGCGGTGAGGAGGTCAAGCGGCGGCGCAGGCCTTTCCGGGCCGGTGGCCGTGGCTGGGCAGTACCTCTCCGAAAAGTAGAAATCGTTGCGGGGTGTTGAACTGGCCTCATCCATCCGGGAACTCGCTCTTCAAAATGCAACAAGGGGCGGGCAAGCAAAACAGAAGAGAATGGAGCACAAGAAGGATGCACAGGAACAAAATTAGGTCTTTTGTGTTTTTCGCCTCTTGACCCCCCCCCCCCGCACACTGCAAGAGGCGTGACAACCTGACGACATGCCTCGCGACAACAACGCAGATACGACGAGAGGCTGAGAGGGAAGGGAAACGGCTCAAGCGACGACTCAAAAGCACGACAAGCCAAAGGAACGTCGGGTTCGATACCCAGGGCCAAATTTGGCGCCAAGCCGAGCTCCCCAAATCCACAATTACACAACCATACCCGCCGCTGACTTCTGCAGCTGCCACGGGGCGGGGGATTGTCAACACGATGGCGGGACCGGAAGGCGCAAGGAAACCCAAAAAAGCAAACCGCAACAAACCCCCAAACTTGCGGCCAGAACAACGGCCCATTGCTTTTCACACCACACGTGGCGGACGTCGTCCCCTCTCTCACGAAAGGACACGCCCGACTCCCACCCGCGAAACACGCTTACGTACGACGGGACGAACAAGCGACAACACCGGGGCGGACGTGCTCACCTCGGGACAGCCGCCGTGCCGCCGGCAGGCTTCGGGAAGAGGTAGCCGGCGGACGCGCTCGCGCACGGCCCGGCAGAGTACGGGGGCCTGAGTTTCCCATCATTGTTGAACAGGATCTCTCGGTACGAGAGGCGGCCGTTCGCCTTCTGCAGCCCACCGCCGGCGCCCCTCGACAAGAGCCCCCCCCCGCCAGCGCCGGGAGCTCTGGCCCCGCCGCCGCCCCCCCCACCGCCGCTGCTGCCGCCGCCACCGCCCGCCGCGACCTGATCCCTCTCTCCCTTGGCCTGCTTCGTCTCGGCGTCGTACTCGTCCGGGTAGCTGCAGTGGTTCGCCGGGCTCCAGGTGTTCATCTTGCAGTACCTTCGGAAAGCAGCGAGGGTAAGAGGAGTGTTGGCGTGGATGAGCTTCGGGGCGGAGGATGGCACGAAAAGGCTTTGACCGTCGCCGAGCGCGAACGCGGTCTAAACAGTCAAGCACAGAGAAAAAAAAAACAAGGGGCTTTAAAAACATCACTATATGGACGCGTGTATGCCAACAACAACCGTGCCGGCTGTCGCAAAAAAATCCGTGGGGATGGATGCCTCTCCAGCGAGAGGGCAAACCGGCACCATGAAGCGCCCCAACACCGGAAATACTAGAACCAGGAACACGTCATCGACGCTGTCTCGCAAGTTTGAACGCACAACATATGGTTCCCGTGTCATAAAATATGCGAACGACAAGCAAGGCGGCGGCGGCGGCGGCGGCGGCGGCGGCAGGGCTGCGCCTGATCAAACATGGTCTCCCAGTCTCAACATCTAGCATCTAGCACCAACAGCCGCATGGTAGCACGACGACAGCAGCACCATTGCCGTCAGCACCGCTGTGCGAGTGCTCAGTAGCGGCAACCGTGCCGTGTACTGTCCCTTGCCTACTCTAAAGGGACATGTCTACTGCTGTCGCTCGATGCTGTTGATGTGGGGGACGAGGAACTGTAGATGGCACCACTGTATTGGTTTTCTCGGCGTTTCAAAGTTTCGACCCGCGAGGACACTCAGGAAAAGAACTGCTGAAACATCATCGCTATTACAACAAAAATGGAGGCGTGGTGCGGGCAGGCAGGTGTATGGGTTGATTCGCAGAAAATATGAAGGAATGGTCCTGTGCGACCCCTCCAATAGACGAGAGCCCGGGCACCATGACCACGAGCGCGACAGAGAAAACCAACCTCGGCAGCGTTGGGATCGCCGATTGCTGCCACAACGCTGATCGCTGCGTTAGAAATACACCTACTGTTGCCCTTTCGGCAACCTGCTACTAACACCCACGACCACGGAGTACCTCAACATCAGTGCTGTCTCTCTGTCTCTGGCCCTCTTGCGTACACCATATTGGCATTCAGCAAATGTCGGACAAAAGGGCCTCAATCCTCCGCAGGATCCGTCCGAGAAATCTCGGTTGCGTGGGCACAAGCGGACCAAAGAGGATAAAGGGTTCCCACTTGCAAATATTCTTGCAGTGCTGTTCACCAAAATTAAAGTCACTCGCATAAGACTTGAGGTCTCGTCTCGCAGCCTCAAGCAAACAAGTCAAGTTCCGGAGCAAACAGCACCAACCAACAACGGGCCTGTGCGCGTTCAATTTACGCCCAAACACAAATGGAAAGGAGTAACACCAAGGCGCTTGGGGTTTGCTTCGCAACGAGCAAAACACTCGACACCCGTCGCGTCCAATGGCGGCACGCTCGTCGTCTCTCACATGGCGACAACGTCTGCCTTTCCGCACTCACCACTTGTCGGGCAGGTTCTCCAGCCGCATGCCGAGCGCCAGCTTTCTCCACCGCAGGCACCGGTCGCACTGCACCCACAGCACGTCGTCCTTCTTCGACCTGCCCCGACCCCTCCCGCCGCCGCGAGACCCGGCGTCCGACTCGCGTCGCTCCAGCCCGCTGCACGAGCCCGGATCCCTTCTCCAGGCCCTCTCGTCCGCCGCGTCGACCGACTCCGACGTAGCGCGAGCTCGGGAGCCGATTCGGCGGCCTCTAACACTGCCACCGCCGCCGCCGCCTCTGCTCCCGGCCCCGCCTCTCACGACGAAGGACCTGCCGCCCGCGGTGCCGTTGGTCGCCGGGGTTGGGATTGAGGTGCTGTCCTCGGGCTGCTCGCAGCTTGCGGCTGGGTTCCAGGTGCCCATGTGGCAGTACCTGATACGCGGGGAAATGCCAGAGAGACAGGCACACACAAACGCGTGCGCGTCTCTGAGGTGTGCGTGCCGTCATCCATCTCACGTGGATGATAACCCGTCTGTTGCGTAAAAGAGCTAACTCGATTTGGTTTAGATCCCCTGGCGCCCGCCTTGATCCTCGCTACGAAGCCGCACTGCCTCCGACATCCGAAGGTCAAACCACAGCCACTTTTCCCCTTCCCGACCAACAACTATTGAGCACGTTTTCAGGGAACAACAACAAGCAGCGAAGCGCATGGCCTCCAACCTGCCAAAATAACTGCGACGATAGCATCAGCATAACCTCAACTTACTATCTTGGAAAACACCCAAACATGGCCAACAACCTCACAATAAACAGGCGGTGTGCAACTAGCAAATATGGACACTCGCGGTCGGCAAGTGCATCCCCCCCCACTCACCACTTGTCGATACCCTGTACGCTCACACCAGGAGGGACGCGCCTCCACTTCCCGCAGTGGGCGTAGTCGCACATCACCCACTGGTCAGCCTTCGGCGGGGCTTCGAAAACCGCTCCGCCACCACCATCGGAGCGAGCCGCCGAATGCATGCCCGCCGCCGCCGCCGCCGCCGCCGCCGCCGCCGCTGCCCCGCCTCGCCCTCCCGACCTATCCTCCGGCGGTGCGGGCGCGACCTCCCCCTGGCTAGACTCCGCGGCCCTGAGGAGCGAAGCGACGGCGTCCCTCCCCATGCTGCCCCCGCCGCCGATGCTGCCCTTTCTCCCCCTTCCCCGGCACGATGCCACCCCCACACCGTTCGGTCTGGATCCAGCTTCCGGCGCTCCCTGGCTCCCCCCCGGTCCTCCGTCTCGCCCTCCCGCGAACCCGGCACCGTCGTCGTCGTCGTCGGAGCCCGTGTGCGTGCCGCCGCCGCCGCCGCCGCCGCCGCCGCCCTCCCGCCCCCGCTTGCGTCGGTTCGGGGCGGCGGTGCCGGTGGTGGTCGGCCTGTCGTCGATCGTGGTCCCGGCCGCCGCCGCCCTCTGGTTCTCAGCGGTGAGGGCCGGAGGAAACTGCAGCACGGGCCGCGTCTGCGCCGCCAACGCTGCCGCTGCTACCGCCGGCGCGTGCGCGGGGGGAGGACACAACGCCGCCGCCGGTTGTGGCTGTTGCTGCCGTGGTTCCGGACCTTTGGCGGGGTGTGAAAACGATTTCGGTGCGTCGATGGCAGGAGCCTCGCGCCGAAAATGATGATGACCAGCCGGGTCGAAAGCGGCGAGCCGAAAAGGGGCTGGGGGAATGTTCGCTACCTCCATCGCCGCCGCTGTTGTCGCCACCGCCGCAACCATGGCCAGTCCCGCGTCCGCCTTCGCCGCAGCATTTGCTTCTACGGCTGCTGCTGCGGCTGCTGCTGCCGCCGCCGCCCCTGACGCCGCTGAGGTCGGGGTGGGTGCCACCTCCGCCGCCGCCGCTGCCGCTTTGGTTGACGCCGCTTCCGCCGCTGCCACCGCTGCCCCTACCGCTCCCTTTACGGTTGGCGCGGCCAGCAGCCCCCGCTCAGCACGACATCGATCGGGCTGAACCACCTCCCTAGCCCCCTTGGCAGCAGCACCAGCAGCGAACTGGGGCGGCGGTTGTTTTGGAAGAAAACAATCCACCACCGGCTTCCCCCAGTTCTGCATGCGGCAGTGCCACACGTCCGGGAGGGCGTCGGCGCTCAAGGTGCTCGGCAAAGTCCACCACTCCTCGCAGTTGTCGCACTGGACCCACTCCAAGTCGTCCGCGTCATCCTCCTCTTCGTCCTCCCCCTCCTCTTCCGCAAACTCCACCTCGTGGTGCTCTTTCGCGACGCTTCGAGTCCCGCCGCCCCGCCCTCCTCCCCCCCGCCCCCCCCCCCCCCCCCCCCCCCCCCCCCCCCCCCCCCCCCCCCCCCCCCCCCCCCCCCCCCCCCCC